TCTATGCGGATTCGGGGAGATCTCAGCAAGTGCAGTCCAACCATGTTTTCAAAAAAAAAAAAAAAAAAAAGTTTTGACCCACTTTTGGGCCCAACCGGAATTCTGGTTGGACCGCCGGGGGTCCAACCGGCCCTGTTGGGACCGGTCTGTTCCAACTGGCCGGTTGCCGACACAGCCCTGGAATAAATACAGCAAGCTGGCACAGACCAGGGATCGAGCCCTGGTGAAGTCCATAACAGGAACATTGCAGTTTGCAATATACTTTCAGGGCCTATACGTAACCTGATATCTACCCAAATACGGGCCCTGGACCGTCATGATCTCTTTGGAAGCTACAAGACTTTTCTAAGCCTTCCAGACCCCACATTGGTGTTGCTTGTGCGCTGTGTAGCACGGCAAACATGTTCGGAGGTTTTGAAAGGCCTTCCACCATTCAGACCCCAAATTCGAGTTTCAGGGTCAGAGGCCCTGGCCAGGAAAGGCCGAGTCAGTCAGTTTCAAAAAAGTCGCAGTCGGATACCTTAGCAGTCAAGTCCAACAGGCACCCAGCAAACAGTCACATCTTAGGGGCAAAATCATGTCTCATAAAGAAAAGTCATGTTGGAAAGTCACATCCCACGAACAAAGGGCAAATCCATAAGCAAGAGTTGTGACCCAGAGGCAGGAGTCACAGTCCACAGTCAAAATCGTGTGTCATAATCGAAAAGTCGTGACTCAAAGGCCCAAGCAGCAGCACACCAATGAAAATTCGGGAAGGTTCCAGGCCCTGACATACGAAAGCAGACAGGCTGTGGGGATGTGGTACGGGAACCAAGTCAAGCCCCAAGAAGCAGAGGCTGGCACGAGCTGAAGCTCGGCCCAAGACAATATAAGGACTGGCCAGCTCCTCATTCAGGAGATTGCTTATTCACATGAGGTGTGGAAGTGCTGGTGCACTTGTGTGCTATTGTGAGGGGGCGAAGCGCTGAGCCAGAGAGCTGCTCTAGTAGAGGGAGAGAGAGGGATCAGCTATAGCTGCCCAGTGCTGGTAGAGGGAAGACAGCCATAGCTGCGCCAGTGTTAGTAGTTAATAGTAGATTTCAGAGGGGTTAGTAGAGTTAGCAGTGGGTGTATTCAGCGTTGGTGCAGTAGACAGAGAGAAGAGAGAAGATCGAGAGAGAAGAGAGAAGAGCTTCGAAAGAGTTACATACCTGAGTGGAGATACTGGATACTTGGGTTTGCGCTGTTGAGCGCCTGTGACTGAAACTCTCAATTGCTTGTATGATAATTTGTTGGGATTCTAAAGCTGCGCTACCTGGTCTTCATATCTCTGGCCTCCAGTGTGATTTTTGTGTGATCTCATTCATGCTTGCTGTGTGATTGTGTGCGCTCATTGGTGGTGAACTGAGAGGTTCGTTGCAGTTTTGCAAACACAAGAACATGTTCGCCCATTCCGGAATGTGTTCACCCAAATACATTTCGCCCATATGTGGGAGAACATCTCTTTCTTTTAAGATTTTTTTTTTTTTTTTTCAATTCGGTTTTTTATTTTTAACTCGTGTTTGGCTAAGAATTTGGAGGGTTTTGGCGCCCTTTTGCGTGTTCCCGTAACATATATTTCTTTTAAGAATTTTCACCCAAATACATGAGACAAAAGTTGCTTGTATTATTATTTAGTATTTACTATTTACATAACAATGATAACATATATTTTTTCAGATTTTTCTGAGAACTTTTTTTTTTTTTTTAGTGTCTGCGTTCGGAGGGTTTTGGCGCCCGTTTGCATTCGGACACCGATATATTTCTTTTAAGAATTTTCAATCTTTCACCCAAATACATACAGCAAAAGTTGCTTGCATAGAATTTACATAACACATATTTTTGAAATAATTTTCAGATTTTTCTGAGAACTTTTTTTTGTTGTTGTTGTGTTCACGTTCGGAGGGTTTTGGCGCCCGTTTGTGTTCGACACCGAACGCAAACATGATGCTACGCAGCTTGTGCGTTTTCATGTAGCCATATGTGTCCTGCTATTGAGTTTTTAATTAACTATTTTCTTAGCGTCCTAAGCATTCTTTCTCTGAAGTCAGTCGCTTCTTGTCTGTGCTGGTGACATGTTGCCTGATTGCATGAAGGTTGCATATTTGGATGTTGCGGGGAGCTCAAGGAGATCCTTGAGGCAGTCGGTGGCGGTGTCTCAATCCAAAGAGGAGGTGAGATCTAATCAAACCACATAGACTCATGCTGTCTTTTGTCAGTCGGATGTTAGCTACTGTGTGCTCTCACTTGTTTCAAATTTGGTAACCCCTAACATTATCATATCCATCTGATTCCATCTGATTCCATCAGGATTGAAATTCACGATCTGTTCACCAGCAGTTACCTGTGTGTAGTATTTGGCCACGTGAGCTGGGTGCTCTCTTACCAACGTAATTCTACTCTGTCCTCAGAACCTTATGGAGCTTAGCATGGATGCAGTGACCTCGAGTTGCTCCCGAACAAGGAGATGTTGACTGAAAGCAGATTGAGTATCATCCTGTCATCGAGCAAAGAACACATCCACGCAGTAAGAGAGACTAGGGTCACCAGTCTCCCATCTCCCGAGCCCAGAGCAAGAAGCTATCACCTATGAGATCACCTTAGTGTTAAATGGAAATCGTAAATCCTCAACCTCTCCCTCCCTTTCTTGCCCACCAAACTATGTGTTCATGCCGCATGACAAACAGCCACTGAAGCCTTTGATCCCACACGACATGCACAGTGCTGTATACTGTCCTGATTTGTGGGTATTGCTCCCCTCTCTGCAGGACCCAATCCCCCCCAACCACCCAGGAGATCATCCATTGGAGGCCGAGATGGTGGAGTGGGACCTACATGCTTTAAATGTGGTCAGCAAGGTCACTTTGCAAGCAACTGTCCAAGCTCTGGTGGTAATGCGCCTGCTGCTTCTGGCAGAGGCAGAGGGACACAGACAGGGACGGGGGGCAGCAGACAAACATCAAATGGTGCCGTCATGGGAGATAATAATCCATCACGAGTGGCAAGGCGTGCGCAAAGCAGCCAAGTGGATGGGCCAGGGACTGGCACGGGAAGGGGCAGGGGAAGGAACAGAGGAACATCCACACAGGAAGGCGCTGGCGAAGGTGGTCGAGGGCGGAAAAAAAGGAGGACTTCTGAAGGTATTGGAGTCGCGACTGTGTCACTTGCTCCGTATGTGATTCTGGGCATACTCACACTAGGATTTTTTCCACTTCTCTGTGGACACAATTGCGGTCAGATGCGTCCAGGCCGAGCTGGAAGAGCAGTCATATACATCCAGGGAAGTCCTAGCGTGAGCATGCCCTGAGATCGTTTGTTTATCTATGTTGTTGTGACATTGACGTCAACCTAGCTACAGGGCAAAAGCCTGCTAAAAGCTTATCTGCTTTCAATGGGGAGAATGTATGTTGTGATGGGAATTTTTTCAACTGTGTTATGACCCGGACCAATTGCGAAGTACAAATTCACCAATAAAGCACAATGCTGCCCAATTGCAAAAGAAATGAATGAACTTGAGAGGATTGAGAGGATAAGAAGAAGAAGAAGTAGTAGTAAGAAGGAAGAAGATGAAGTACACCAGCAAAGAACCAATGTCAAAGCACTTCTCCTTCGCTCAACTTCTCAACTCCATATGTCCCCCTCTCTTATATTCAAACAAGAATTATTGCAACAATGCTGACCAGCTGATCCAGAATCAAAGTCCAAGGTCCTCTTCTACAGCTGACTACTATTG